GTTAGTGGGAAACCTAGCCCACGGCAAAGCATCCACTGAAGCGTTTTCTCTCCACATACCAGGTGTGTCATCAGCTCCAGGTGCAATTGATTTTATGACTACAGTTATTAGTAGAAACCCCCTGCCACGACAGTATCAAATTCCTTACTCAAGTGACCAGTTCTTATTACAGTTGTACCTCTCTTCTTATGTTCAGCCCTAGCTCCAGGCATTATAATGCTTTTAATTGAACCAAAGTGTAATACAACTTTTTTTTTTTGGCCCTGCAGGAGGGGGTAACCCTATTTTTGCTAGCACTTCCTCTGATTCTTTGTGCATACAAAAGTCCAGTCCTAACTGAATTTGGCATTATTTCTCAAGTTTCTCCTTATTACTCAGGTGAAAAATAATGTTTTGAGTACATGGCTGTCTTAGCCAGGGTTCTAGTCCTATGAAGAGACACCATGACCATGACTACTCTTGGAGAAGAAAGAAGACCCGGCATGGTGCTGGAGAAGTAGCTGAGAGCTCTCCAGTGGAATCCACAGGCAACACAAAGAGAGAGGCATTTGAATCTCAAAGCCCACCCACAGTGCACACTTCCTCCAACAAGGCCACACCTCCTAATCCTCCTCAAGTAGTGCCTATCTCTTAAGACTAAGCATTCTACTAGACCAGCTTATGGGGGCCTTTCTTATTCTAACCACAATGGGGATATTCTAAGCTCTAATATTAAGTTGCTTCCTGTTTGAGTTCATCATATATTGATTTTATGTCTAGACCTCGACACTCCAGTGTACTTTACATTGGCCATTATAGTTATCACTATCCCAACAGGAGTAAAGGGACTTCTTGACTAGCCAGTGTCCATGGAGGTAACTGTACTGTAAGCCTTAGGCTTCGCCTTTCTATTTACAGTAGGTGAAGTCACTGGAATTTTCTTATCTATTTGACAGGCATCATAGGTGCTGAGGGCAGAACTCAGGTCCTCGTGGTTGCCTGACAAGACTTTACAGACTAAGGCATCCCCCAACAAATCGCTATTTTTTTAAGGCAGAGCCTCACTGTGTGTCTTAATTAGAGTTACTGTTGCTGTGGTGAAACCCTACAACCAAAAGCAAGTTGCGGAAAAAACACTTTAATTTGGCTTATACCTTTTTTTTTTTTTTTTTTTTTTTTTTTTTTTTTTTTTTTTTTTTTTTGTCATAGTCCATCACTGAAGGAAGTCAGGACAGGAATTCAAACAGGAACTTGGAGGCAGGAGCTGATGCAAACACCATGAAGGAAGCTGCTTACTGGGTTATTGCCCTTGGTTCCCTCAGCCTGCTTTCTTTAGAGCCCAGGACTACCAGCCCAGGAGTGGTAACACTCACAGTGGGCTAGACCCACCCACCTTAATCACCCATTAAGAAGATGCCTTCCAGACAGATTTTAAGGGTACATTTTCTCAATTGAGATTCCCTCCTTTCAGATGGCCCCAGCTATCAAGTTGATAGCTTGTTGATATGAAACTAGCCAGCACACTTCGTAGCCTCGAACTGACTTTGCAGCCTGGAATTTGTGATCCTTGTGTCCTTTCTCCAGAATGCTGGGGTCATAGGTGTGGCAAGGTCAGCCGTCTACTAAGACAAACTCTTCTAGGAGAATGAGGATGGTGGAGGTGAATACGAGAGGGCGCTATGAGGGCACACTACCAGCCAACTGTCCTCAAGGCCACCCGGAATCAAGGTATACTCCATTAACTATTTGACTAGTAGGATTTCCTCAGAAAGGAAAGTACGTGTTCAGAAGCAAGTCACTCCTCAAACACAAACAGGTTCCTCCTGAGCAGTAGGCTCAGGTGTGACTTATCCTTCCAGACCTGCAAGCTCCTTCCCTGCCCAAACCAGGGAATATAGATGCAGAGCAGCCTGGCAGATCAACCAGAAAGGCTTCTAAGCGTGTTTACATGTCCCGGGATTTCCTTTAAGAGAAGTGATACAGATGGAGAGAGTTAGATGAAGTCTTAGTTAGGGTTTCTATTTCTGTGAGGAGACACCATGACCAAGCAACTGTTATAAAGGAAAACACTTGATTGTGGTGGCTTACAGTTCAGAGGTTCAGTCCATTATTATCAGGGTAGGACATGGCAGTGTGCAGGCAGACATGGTGCTGGCTACATCTTGATCAGCAGGAAGTGATCTGAGACACTAGGCAATATCTTGAGAATGTGAGACCTCAAAGTCCACCTCTATGGTGACATACTTCCTCAAACAAGACCACACCTACTCCAACAAAGCCACACCTCCTAATAATGCCTCTCCTTGTCTTAGTTAGGGTTTTCCTTGCTGTGAAGAAACACCATGACCACAGCAACTCTTATAAATGAAAGGATTTAATTAGGCTGGTTTGCTTATAGTTTTAGAGGTTCAGTCCATTATCATCAAGGTAGGAAGCATGAAGGCATTCAGGTAGACATAGGGCTGGGCAAGTAACTAAGAGTCCCACATCTTCTAGGCAACAGGAAGTTGACTGAGACACTGGGAAGTATCCGGAACATAAGAAACCTCAAAGCCCACCCCCACAGTGGCACACTTCCTCCAACAAGACCAAACCCACTCCAACACCTCCTAAAAGTACCACTCCCTATGAGTTTATGGGGGCCAATTACATTCAAACTATGACACCCTATGAGTTATGGGAACCCATTATATTCAAATGACCACAGTGGGCCTGTATAGCTTAAGTTTCTCACGCTGAGTCAGTTACCAGTGATGCTGGCTACCCAGCAGCAGAGAGGTACAGAGGAAAACTGAAGAGTTGCATTTACCATCATGACTAATTCTCCCAGTCACCATCATAGTCAGTGTCTCAGGTACAACGGCAGGGGCTTTTAAAGTTTGCAGTAACTGCCGTGATGTTAATCAGCTCCTGGAGGGTTATAATCAGATACTGGGGGAGTCATAATTAAGCTAATGTACATAGAAAAACAAATGAGAAAGAGTATTTTTTTAAGGGACAAAATCTGGGTATGGTGGCACACACAACCCAGACTGTCCCAAGAAGAAGAGGAGGAACCACTGATGCTAGGTACAGTGCACACCTTTAATCCCAGCATTAGGAGGCAGAGACAGGCACATCTCTGAGAGTCTGGTCCTCATAGAGAGTTCCAGGAGGCCAGCAAGGGGTACATAATGAGACCCTGTCTCAAAAAGAACAAGAAAAGAAGGAGAGGTAGGGGAGGAGGACAAGGAAGACAAGAGACTGCAGACAGGCAAGAATAAGAAACAGTAGTAAGGAGAAATGAAGAGGTACTAGATGGGAATTTTGATGGGTGGGTATAATACCAGTGAAGGCTATAGATACCACTTCCTGTATTCTTATCCTGGCCCCTGGAGCTCCGTGTCAGTTAGTGAAACCCACAGGAAGACTTGCTGTGGCAAGCACCCATAAAGACAAAGCTGTTGTGATGGCTAGTCTTTCCTGTCAACTTGACGACATCTAGAAGCAACTAAAACCCAAGGGGCTGGCTACACCTGTGAAGGATATTTCTTAATTAAATCATTTGAAGTGGGAAGACCCACTTCTAATCTGGATCTCTGAGGTAGGAAGATCCACCTTAAGTTTGAATCACACCTTCTGCTGGCAGCCTATATAAAGGACATGGAAGAAGGAAGCTTGCTCTCTGCCTGCTTGCTCTCACTCTCGCTAGCAAGTCCATTCCTTCACTAGCCTTAGAGCCTACTTCTTTGGGAGTCTAGCATACACTGAAGACCAGCTGAGACATTCAGCCTTAAGAACTGAACAGCTACTGAATTCTTGGACCTTCTGTTGGTAGATAGCCATTGTTAGACTAGTTGAACCAGACTATAAGCTACTCTAATAAATCTTGTGTGTGTGCGTGTGTGTGTGTGTGTGTGTGTGTGTGAATGCGTCTTATCAGTTCTCTTCTAGAGGAATCTGAGTAATACAGCTGCCATCAGAACTGCTGGTGGCAGCAAGTGACCCATGATGCTAAATTATGTCTTCACTATCAGGCTTACTACTCTATTGCGTCTCTAAATTCATAGGTCAGAAACGCATGTTTTGAAGACCAGACTCCTGAGGAAACTTGAGACACGACGAATCCAAACCCTGGGAATCTTGGCTTCCTTTTTACTTTTAAGCTCTCGGTGCTGATGGATTCTTGATTTTTTTTTTCTTTCCCTGACGATGTTTAGGAATAGGGCCACTTTATGTTTAAGGAAAAATATTAAGTTGCCCAGAAAGTGCTGTACTCAGCAGTATTTCACTGCCGTTAATTGCTTCTTTCTTGTGACTCGGGGTCTCTCTCTTTAGGGTGCTCTCTTCCGTGGTTCTGATTTATCACTGGGCTGTAGCTATCAAGCAGGACTGACAGGGCCACTATCCTGCTCTGTAGTCAACAGATACTAGGGACGGTTCTGAGACCTCAGCACACAGCCTGCAGAAACAAGTGGCACGGACGGACTTCTGAGAGGGGACCAGGAAGCTGGGGGAAAGGTGGAGGAAGTGCGCATGGGGCAGGTGGGGGTGAGGGGGTCCAAGTCATGTCTGAGCAACAGAAATGCAGTAAATTATCATCTAATTCAAGACCCGTCCCGTGAGTTTGAAGTAATTTAGCGCTTTCACTGGGGAGCAACCACTTACGTTGGGTGTGAACCAGGACGGCAGCTCTTTTCCCAGAGTTGGGAAAGAGTTCCTGAGCTCTTGGGAGGACTACGTAGAGCGAGAAGGAACTTCTCCTCCGTAAAAGAACGTGACCTCACTGCACGAGCCAAGGCCTGAGGACACCAGCCTTCTTCAGCTTCACAGGAGTCGTTCCTTGGTTGCGTCCCTAGGGAGCCACCAAGCGGGTGCAGAGGAAGAAGGGAAGGGGTGGGGAAGGAAGGGGCGGAGCCGCCTCTGTCACACCCATTAGCCACGTCCAGTGACCAGGAGCCTCAGGGGTCCTACGCGCACGCGCAGACCTGGACTCCGCGCCCTCCTCCCCCGCCCTTCCACCCTCCCCCCCCCCTCCCGCCTCGCGCTTCTCCCTCCGTGGCGTAGTGTTTGGCGTTACCATGGAGTCTGGAGAGGCCCGCGGATGCTGTTTGTTGCCAGGGTAACCCCAGCGGCAGAAGGCAACCGTGGCGGCGGCTGCAGGGCTGCGATGGTGACAAACCCGGTGCACGGCCTGCCCTTTCTCCCGGGCTCGTCCTTTACGGACTCCACGGTGAGGGCCAGTTGGAAGGGTTCGCCACTCCGCGCGCCTCTGCTCTCCTCCATCACGCAGGCTCCACCGCCCTCCTGCATACCAGCTTCTGCGGGCTTTAGTCGGCTTCTTGGTAGTCCACACACCTTATGGGTCCTCACTGCGGTCCTGTTCTTACTTTCCTACCTAACCTGCCTCCTGGCCCCATGACCCCAGGCCATCGCCGTTACCCCATTACCCCAGATTCATTCTTACCCTCCTCAGCGCCTCTCTGCTTTCAGCCTCTCCGCCCTCCTCTCCCCAGCAACCTCATCTGACTCTTCAAGATTGCTGCCTTGCAGCCCCCTTCTCATGCACTCCTTCCTGATGGGTCATTCCCTCGGGTCTCCGTATTTCTGAGTTAAGGGTCACTTTTCTCTCTAGCTTCAGTCTTCTCTAGAATTAAATCCCGCCCCAGCTCATCTTGGGTTTCTTGTAGTTTCTCTAAAAAGCGTGCCCATCTTCCTCTTCTCTGCTTTGCGTTTTCTCATCTCACTTACCTCAACCTCATGGACCACCTGGTGCTTTTTCTTTCCTTAGCCTGTGTTTAACATTCTTATCATTGCATATATTGTATATAATATATAACTCATTTTCCGACTGTGTGTGTGTGTTTTAGGGAGGGAGGGGTCTTGCTTGTTGTATCTTGTATGCAACCCAGAGGGGCCTTGAACTTGAAAGTCATCTGCCTCAGCCTCCAGAAATGCTTGGTTTAAAGGCATGAGTGAGTACATGTGATAATTGTCTTTCTGGGTCTGGGTTACCTCATTCAAAATAATGTTTTCTAGCTCCATCTATTTTCCTACAAAATTCAAGATGTCCTTATTTTTTTTCTGCTGTGTAGTACTCCATTGTGTAAATTACCACATTTTCCTTATCCATTCTTCAGTCGAGAGGCATTTAGGTTGTTTCCAGGTTCTGGCTATGACAAACAAAGATGCTATGAACATAGTTGAGCACATGTCCTTGTGGCACAATTGAGCATCCTTTGGATATGTACCCAAAAGTGGTATTACTGGGTCTTTTTTTTAAAATATTTATTTATTTATTTATTATGTATACAATATTCTGTCTGTATGCCTGAAGGCCAGAAGAGGGCACCAGACCTCTTTACAGATGGTTGTGAGCCACCATGTGGTTGCTGGGAATTGAACTCAGTACCTTTGGAAGAGCAGGCAACGCTCTTAACCACTAAGCCATCTCTCCAGCCTGTATTACTGGGTCTTGAGGAAAGTTGTTTCCTAATTTTCTGAGAAATCGCCACACTGACATCCAAAGGAGCTGTACCAGCTTGCATTCCAACCAGCAATGCAGAAATGTTCCCTTTTCCCCACAACCTCTCCAGCATAAGTTGTCATCCGTGTTTTGATCTTGACCATTCTTACAGGTGTAAGATGGAATCTCAGAGTTGTTTTGATTTGCATTTCTTTGATAACTAAGGATGTTGAACGTTTCCTTAAGTGTCTTTAAGCCATTTTAGATTCCTTTGTGGAGAGTTCTCTGTTTAGATTTGTACTCTATTTTTTTTTTGTTGGATTTTCTCCTGCAGAAGTGTCTGGGTTGGAGTTGGACCTGGAAAGTTTTCTGGTTCTGTTCTACTGCCACAGAGGTCCCAGGCTCGGGTTCGCCTGAACCCTCAGAGGACCTGCTTACTTCCTCAGTGGTCCCAGACTCTTGCTCGGACCTGCAGGGGTTCCAGGATCCTGTCTATTTCCTTTGATGTCCCAGACCAATGCCCAAACCCACAGAGGTCCTGGCTCAGGCCTACTCTCTCAGAGGTCCAGACTCATGCCTGGTCCGGCCGAGATCTCTAGTTCCTTCTGGTTCCTGCCTATTCCCTTGCAGGACCAAGGTTCACTCAAGCCCAGGCTGACAGAGCTCCTGGCCTCTGGCTAGTTCCTAGGAGGTTCTAGACTCTCACCCAGACCCACAGAAGTGATAGCTTAGGTCTTCTTCCTTGAAGGTCCCAGATTCATGTCCAGACCCTCGGCAGTCTTTGGCTCTGACTCACCGGCTCAGCGGTTACTCCCCTGTACCATTCCGGTGGAGACTGTTGACTCTGGATCTGGTCGCTGGCTCAATCCTGATCCGCCCGTGTCTCAGGACTGGGTTTGTTGCTGGCTTCTGCTCCTGGTGGAACTTGTTCTCCGTGTCCTAGGTAGCTGGTTCAGTCCCACTCTGGTTCCAGTGGGGATCGCAGGTTATTGGCTCAATCCTGGTCTGCCAGGACTGGGTTTCTTTTTTGTTTTAATAAATTGTGAATACTTCACCAAGTTGCTGCATCATATTGAAAACCACTTTAATTCCTGCATAGTAACCCATTATTTCCTTTCTTCTTTTTGTTTGTTGTTTAGATTGTTTCCAACATATGAGTATCATATATAAACACATATATTTGTCAGTATTGTGACCAGCTTCAAGCACATCCTTCTTTCTCATACTTTTGGGATGTGTCTTTTAAAAAGGGGCAGGATTACTGGATGTTTACATATATGCTGGCAAGCCGCTCTACACAGACTTCCCCAAATGTATCAGTGTCAATATAATAAAAAAAGGCTGTGGTATAATAAGAAGGGCTGAGATATAGTAAGGAGGGCTGAGATATAATAAGAAAAGCTGTTGCTGGAGGTAAAATTAAAATTCAGAAAACCAGATCTTCTAAGGCTATCATTTATCACCACCAAGAGAAGAGGAAAAGGAAGATTAGCAAAAATAAAAATAAATTGCAGTATAAATGAAGTGGTGTGGTAGAGGTGAGGTGAGCCTGATACCACAGAGCAGGGCTGTTTTATCTCAACCTTAGGTGGCTTCTCCTTCTCTCCTTGCTCCAGATCAAGTGTTTTGGTTTAAAATGCTCTTTTATGGAGGAGGGAGTGAGAGCAGAGGAGGAAGGAGAAACTGTAGCTAGGATATAATATAAAGAAATAAGTTTATTTTAAGAAAATACTCTCTTGATGCAGCAAAACATTTAATGCACATGTTGTGATGTTGAAAAGCAAACATTTGAAGCTAGAGAGATGGCTTAGTGTTTAAGAACAAGAACGGCTGTTGCAGAGGGCCTGGGTTCAATTCTCAGCTCCCATATCAGGTGGTTCCTATCCATCTTGGTTCAGCGAGTCTGAGGGCATCTGCATGCACACCCACACATCTGCCCACATACATACATAATTTTAAAATATATGTTTTAAAGCAAGAGTTTAAGCTGTGATAGTTTAGGAAGTTTGTTGTTTCCCTTAAAGATCTGTATGGGGTTATTAATGGTACCCATCTTTTCTTCAGAAAACAGCATTCCACAGAAGCCAGACGCTCGGCTACAGGAACGGCTACGCAGTTGTTCGACGTCCGACGGTGGGGATAGGCGGAGACCGGCTCCACTACAATCAGCTGTCTCAGGCCGAGCTGGATGAGCTGGCCAATAAAGCCCCCATCTTAACTTATGGGCCACCCAAGCAGGCCCCACCTGCAGAGTTTGTCCCTGCGCATGTGGCTTTTGACAAAAAGGTATCGTCTGGGATTTTAGGGTGCCCCTTGACTTCAGATGTCTAAGACTTGACCGCTGGCAGAAATGTTATCAGTAAACCACGGAATTCCTTGAGTACTCAGAGAGAAAATTGTTCAGATGCCTCAACCCTTAGTCACAGACAGCGGAACTGGGTCCTGGAAGAGGCTTTCTCAAGGCAGGAAGCAGATTAGAGAAAATAGTTCCCTGTAGACTTCCCCAGAATATTTTCCAAATACAACGACAAGTTGCCTGAATTCCAGCTCCCACATTCATGGTGCACTATGTTCATTTTCTCTGCTTCCCACCTATTCTGCAGCAATGAGTCCTAAATCTCTATGAAGTGCAAAATAGTCCGAGAACATCCCCATCTGTTTCTTGGTTAATTTTTTTCACAAGATTTCACTCATCCATCCATCCATCCACTCATCCACCCGGAAATCCATCCATCCATCCATCCATCCATCCATCCATCCATCCATCCATCCACCCTTTCATCATTGGTGCTATTTCTATTTCAAACACTCTAGTGACTGTTGTTCTCTAGCAAAGTTCATATTGTCACACACACACAAAAAAAAAAAAATACAACAAACCCCCTTCTACCTAGCACTCCTTTAGGAAGAGAATTTTATCCCACCCTTGAGCCCCAGACTGCTTTCTCAGAGATAATGAGCAGTGATGTCCTGTTTGCTGAGTTTGAACAGACATCCATGGTCCTTCTTCTAGGCCCTGTTTCACTCTCTCCCTCCCAGGCTCTGCTCTTGGCTTGTACACAGGGTTGTTACTTCTCCTGGTTCCCCCTCCTGTCTGTCAGGTTGCTCTTTCTCTGGTCTCCCTCCCCCTTGATGTGGGCATTTGCAAGTCTCTGTGCTCATTCTTGAATTTCCCTTCTTAGGAGGCCTCACCTACCGTTGTGCCTGCAGCTGTCTTCTCAGCGCGCTCCTCTGTCAGTATTTACAAACTCTGTCCTCACTGAGCGCCAGACCTTAGCCACAGGCCTCTCCCGAGAGTGGGAAACCCTCACCTGGGTGAGCTGTGCTTCACACTTAGCCTCTGTATTTTTTGACTCTATCATTACCCAGCCCCGAGGACTGCTAGATCTGCTTCCTCGGTTTGGATTCTGAGCATTCACGCTTGACATTTTCTCCCCACATTCAAAAAGATGCCAAGCCAAGTATTTCTCTTTCGTTTCTGCTGTCATTTTCAAAGTTCAAACAAGCAATATGATCTCTACAAACTCAGGAAGTTTGAACACACCATCGGGAGCCAAGGCCACTGTAAAAATTCAGTGAAAAGATACATTTTTACACAGAGTATCTAAATATTATTTTCCCCTCCTTTCTACATGTTACTCGGCTCTCATCCTACCTGGCACAGCTGGTGTTATCCTAACACCTGTAAGAGCCTCTTGTGTTAGCATTCTTCTCGGTTGCTCCCTCATGGGGGTCTAGAACTCTTTATTCTTAACAGTCAGTGGGCTGGAGAGAGAATTCAGTGTTAGGAACACTGGCTGCTTTTCCTGAGAATATAGGTTCAATCCAGCTCTCACCTGGTGGCTTACAACCATACTGCCTGTAACTCCAGTTCCAGGGACCTTGATGCCCTTTGGGCGTCCACAGGTACTTACATACATGTGCACACACACACACACACAAACACACACATAAATAAATAAATCTTAAAATAAGAGTCTAAACACAACAAAATTACTCTAAAGCAAGAACTAAGGCATATACATTATTTAGCTTAAGTTTTTACAAAATTTTCTTATAGAAGCAGTTCATTTGTAGATGTGTAAAGATAGGAGATCAAGATTAATCTACACCGATCCTTTATGTTAGGGGCTGAAAAGCATATTCTTAAGAATTTGAGGAGCTAGAGAGGTGGCTCAGCGGTTAAGAACATGTGTTGCTCTCGCAGGTGCTGAAATTTAGCGCCTACTTCCAAGAAGATGTTCCCATATCAAGCGAGGAGCACTACCGAATCCGCCACGTGAACATGTACTACTATCTAGAGGATGACAGTATGTCTGTCATAGAGCCCGTTGTGGAGAACTCCGGGATCCCGCAGGGCAAGCTAGTCAAGCGCCAGCGGCTAGCCAAGAACAATGTGGGAGACCACTACCACTGGAAAGACCTCAATCGGGGAATTGACATCACAATTTATGGCAAAACTTTCCGAATTGTCGACTGTGACCGATTCACCCAGGTATGGTGTAGTATCCTTTGTGGGCTGGGACTCTGCAGTAGGACTCTAGCTGGTGGGATGCATTTCATTACTTCATCCATTAGTGGATGGGGAAGGACCCTGGTGGCTGTAGGGGGAGTCACTAAGCAGGTTAGTGTTTGTGTGACTGTGCATACACACACACACACACACACACACCTTTAGTACAGAGTATAGACATTAGGAAAACAATGCCAACTTTGTCTTAGATTTTTAAACAGTGATTATATACTTATTTTAAGTGAATTATAAAGTTTAAGAACATTATTCCATCTTAACCTGGCCCTGGTGCACTCACCTCCATAGCAAAAGTGAGACACATGTCTTATGAAACCATGCTTGGGTACCAGATGCTTGTCTTAAACCAATGTCAAAATTTTGTTCCTAGGCATCCAACGTGACTGATATAAGTTCATAGTTGAGATGCCCAGTTATCTTACTACGATGCCTCCCGACTAGCTTAGCATACGTATGATAAAGAAGACCTCAGGCAGGTATCAGCTGTTGTCTGCACTGTAGAGTTGGGCCGCTGGAGATGGTATCTCTCAGACATGCCCAATATGTCAGCAGATCATTCGTTCCATTGCACTTATGTTCAGGCCATTAGTGTATGACATGTAAAACCTTCAGGATGATGTTGACATTAATCCTGAAATATTAGGAATTTTTGGAAAGTCAAGGAATTGAAGTGAATCCACCAGAGAAAATGCCTCTCGATCCTTACACTGAACTCCGGAAAAAACCTGTTCGTAAATACATCACCCCATCAGACTTTGACCAACTGAAGCAATTCCTCACCTTTGACAAACAAGTAAGTGACTTAATAGAGGAGGTTTACATCTGTTTGAGTATGGATATGTGTTTATTGGAAAGTTTTGATATCCTACATATATATCGTATAGCAAAATATATACTATATATATATAATTTAACCATTGGCACATAGTGGTTTCCTGTAGGGCTAAAAGTATACCAGTGCCTCCAGAATACAAGGTGTCTCTAAGTAGCCCTGGCTGTCCTCAAACTTGCTGTGCACCCCAGGTTGGACTGGAACTCATGTTCTTTTTGCCTCTGCATCCCATGTACTGAGATTACAGGTGCGTATCACCACACCTGGCTTTCTGCCATTACCTTAAATTAGAAGATTCTGTCCATCCAGTAGATGTATTTTGGTAGTCCCAAAAGAAAGATAGGTTTATTAATGAAATTTTTTCCATACCAATTCTATACACACAATTCAACATGTATCTTTGTTAGTATGCATAAATCACCTTTATAGGCCATCCTCCCCCTTTCTTTTTATTCAGCTTCTCTTTCTCAGACTACTGTTTGGGGCCAAAGTAAGCTGTCCTGTCTTGGCACAAACTGAGAAAGCTTGTGCTATTCCTTTGGTATGTTAATATGTGGTACATGATTTTGGATATTTTCCTATCCTTTTTTTTTTTTTTTTAATTTGCTGTCTGAAAGTGTTTCAGCTACTGTTCATCACTGTCTGATAGACACATGTCATAGCGAAGTTAAGACTCTGTTTTAGAATCCTAAAGCATCACTTTGGACTCCTCAAAGGTCCTTCGATTCTATGCCATCTGGGACGACACGGATAGCTTGTTTGGAGAGTGCCGACAGTACATCATTCACTACTACCTCATGGACGATACTGTGGAGATCCGAGAGGTCCATGAACGGAACAACGGAAGAGACCCCTTCCCACTCCTCATGAACCGCCAGCGCATGCCCAAGATTTTGGTGGAGAATGCAAGTAAGTTTCGTTGAGTGGAGCCTCTGTTACTTGGGGAGTTTGGGGCTTCTAGGAAGTTAAGAGTCAGGGCGATCACTCTTCTTTACTTGGCGCTGTCCGTGTTTTCCTACATTTTTAATGTTTTTTTTTTTTTTCTTTTCTGCGACTTTCCTCCATGATTTGCCTTAGTCCAAGCATATGTCCTGGGCACTCCAGTAGAGATGACTTAGCAGATAAAAGCAAAACAGAAGAAAAAAATGCAACAGGTGATTCCTTTAAAGACAGGTAGAGCAAGGCTTCTTAACCGAACCCATTTACTATTATGTTTGCTTGTTTGTCTTGGTGCTGCTGGAGATTAACTCCAGAGGCTTATGAATGCCATTAAGTGTTTTGCCACATAACCTTGGCTGGCAAGGAGCTTACTGTGTAGACCCAGCACTGCCTTGCAAGTACTGGCATTAAAGGTGTGTGCCACCATGCTTAGATTTATACCTTGATTCATATACAATAATTGGAAGCAATAAATGAGATTTGTGCAAAAAACAAATGGTTAGGTCTTATAAAGCATTATTCGGCAGTGTAAAAACAGAGTAAAATGAGATAAATTTGCATAAAGTAAAACTCACTCTTAGTATCCATGGTGGACATTCATTTAAAGAGCGGTACATTTGTGGTTTAGGAGTCTGCAGCTGGTTTCTCTGTGGTGCTTCTGCCCAGAGAAAGGAAAAAAAGCTTTAGAGCTTAGATACAGGGTAGGACCTGTGGCTGAAGTGTCTAGACCTATCTTTACTCTGGGTAGAGACTTGGGGAGATTAAAAAAGAAAAAACTTTTTTTGCATACTCTCTGGTTCATCCTGATCTCAAATAAGCAATCAAGGTATGCCAGAGAACTAGAAAACTGGAACAAATCAACCCATAAATTGGAGAGAGAGAAAGAGGGGGAAGGGAAGGGGAGACTAGATCAGAGCAAAAATAAATGAAATGAATAAAAAGAAAAATGCAAAAGATAATTAAAATAGTTTGTTCTCCAAAAAGACAAAGAAAAATGACTATCTTGTGATGTGGGATTCCCTTCTTATGCTGTGAATATGTTTTATGATCATTGATTAATAAAGAAGATGCTTTGGCACTTCCTCAGAAAGTTAAAGCTAGAACTTCCCTCAGCCCTGTGTGTGTATGTGTGTGTGTGTGTGTTAGTTAAAAGAAAATGAAATCAGTATGTAGAAGTAGTATCTGTACAAGTGTGTTTAATGTAATACGATTCAAGTGTCTAGAAATAGAAACAACCTAAGTGCCCATCAGCTAATGCATGGAGAAAGAACATGTGGTACATGCACCATGAGAAACTAGGCATCCATATAACAGCGAAACCCTGTCACGTGTGCCAACATGGACGGAACACTGGAGATCATTTTGCTAAGTGACATCAATCGTGCACAGAAGGATAAGTACCACCTGTGCATCGAGTATGAAGTTGACCTCGCTGGGGCTCAGTGGCACGCTCCTGTAATTAGAGTACTTGGGAGGCCGAGGCACGGGCCTCACTGATGCAATGATCGCCTCAGCTTCACAGTGAGACCCTTGCCTTAAAACAAAAGAAAATAAGAACGTTGATCTTGGGAAAGTCGGTGTCAAATGGTGATTCTCAGAGGGTGGAAAGAGTAATGTGGGGAGGGGCTGGGGAGATGGCTCAGTCTACACTGCATCTGCTGTGCAAGCATTGGAGTCTGAGTTTAGATCCAGAGCAGAAAACCTGGTGGGGGCAACAGCTTACCCAATTGGTATCCCCATACCTGGGGCATGGGAGCAGAAAACAGGCTGATTCCCAGATCTCACTGGCCCAAACAGTCTAGTCAGCCGAGGAAGACATCGGATGTTGATCCCTGACCTCCAGATGGGTAGTGCATACATATAAATGTGAACCTACAAGCTTGCTTTCAAATATCTACACCTATGTCACACACACACACACACACACAAACACACATACCCCACACATACATACATGTGCACATCACTCACACACACATACATACACACACATGCACATGTCACACACACACGAACAGAGAAGGAGAGAGGAGAGATGGGGAGGAGTTGACTAGTGCTGCTGCATTGCAGCCTGGCTCTAGACCACAAGTATAATATTTCTTTTTTTTTTTTTTTTTGTGGTTTTTCGAGACAGGGTTTCTCTGTGGTTTTGGAGCCTGTTCTGGAACTAGCTCTGTAGACCAGACTGGCCTCGAACTCACAGAGATTCGCCTGCCTCTGCCTCCCGAGTGCTGGGATTAAAGGCGTGCGCCACCACCGCCCGGCTAGTATAATATTTCAAAAAGCTATGACAACCACACCAGACCTTGTTCTAGCCCACAGGAGGCTGAGGCAGGATAATTACAGCAAGTTCAGGGAAAACCTGTGCTTCATAATAAGGCCCAGTCTCAAACAGGACAAAAGAAGGAGAAAAAGTGAAAAACAAAGCACTTTGACTATTTTTACCACAGAGAAATAAAACATATCAATACATTTTAACCTGACTTAACCACTACGCAATAAATACATACATCAGAACGTCACATGGTACTCTATTAAGGCGTATACTTTTTATGTTTTTATGGATCTGTTGGAAAAGCGACAGGGTTACTGAATGAGCATTTATTTATTATACTTCAGAAATTCCATCTTTTTTTTTTTTTCTAATTTTCCATCTCAGTAATTACCTGTCAGGAGAGGCCTGCCCTGCTTCTGGCTCCATGCATTCCAGCTCTGGTTATGTAGTGTGGTACCCCACCACTGGCTTTTGTGATGTTCATAGAGGCCATGCTTCATGAAATCCATCTGAAATAAGTTAACCCTTAGTTCTCACAGCACTCGGATAAAAGGATACTTATCTCCAAAATGCAAGATTTATTCAGTATGTGAAGGTGATTCCTATGTGAGTGGATTATTGCAATCATCTCATTAATTGTCTGTGCCCCTACATCATGGGTATAGCTATGTCCTACTCTCTGATAGCAGTGGTGACTATGTGTGTGTGTGTGTGTGTGTGTGTGCATGCACACGTGCGTGAGTGTGTGTCTAGGAGAACCCATTATCTATATTGTTATTTATTGTCTATTTCAACAAACAGGATATTTTCTCCTCAAAGGTATGAGTTATTTTGCACAATCAATTGTGTAGTCTCAGTAGTTAGCAGTGTACTGTATATACATGTAAACCCTAATAATTGTTGGATGTGTAGAAAATTGGGTGATGAGTTAGAACTAAGCAACTTAGATCCCATCCAGAGCCAACTCTCTTATATGCCTTACATGGCCACATATTAATTCTGTGGACCTTGGAGGCTTTTGATGATAGCACTAACTGAATGTAGAAGAGAGATTTTATGACAAATATCTGGCGTATTATTCGTGTAGTCTGTCAAAGATTGAAATATATAGCGTTACCTATTCCTTTGGCATATCAGTAGGTACTCAGCCCTTAGCCAGAGCCAGCCAACAAGAATATCCAGTTCTTGTGTTAAGCTTTCTTCCTCTGTACTTTCCTTCATCCCTCTAACCCCATGTCCTATTAGAGAACTTCCCTCAGTGTGTGCTGGAGATCTCTGATCAGGAGGTGCTGGAGTGGTACACTGCCAAGGACTTCATTGTGGGGAAGCCGCTCACCATCCTCGGGAGGACCTTCTTCATTTACGACTGTGATCCGTTCACCCGACGGTACTACAGAGACAAGTTCGGGATGCCTGATTTACCACGCGTTGATGTGAGCAAGCACGAGCCACCTCCTGTAAAACAGGTAAATGGAATAGAAGTCCCAAGTGTGATAAGAAAAAAAAAAAAAAGAAGTAGAAACTGAAGTGAAGAACTCAATAAACACAGATGACTTCTGTATGATAGAGGCTCACAAAAGAGGAACTATGAAGAGCCCATCACCACATGAAAACACCCGCAGTCTAGTTATAATCAAAGAAACAGAATGACAGTAATGAGGTTTAATGCTCTGCTCAATTTGAAAGGTCTTCAGTACCCAGTGTTTGTCTCTTTGAAAACACAATTTCATATGCTGTTGTTAGGAAAGCAAGGTAGAATCATCTTTCTCAAGTGCTGTTTGTTGCCATTTTAATTCTTTAGACTATTGTTTATCTTTGGTCTACAAAATCTGCGTTGAGGACTATAAAGGAATATGTTTTACGCAGGAGAGGTTGGCAAAATACATCTGTCCATACTAGTAGAAAATTGTAAGGTCTGTAAAAGATAAAGTAAGTGTTTGTATATTAGCATGGGAAACGTTCATCGCATATTTTAAGTGAATAAGTGTCTACATTTCTGTGCATAACCTCTGTTCATAAAGGCTGGGAAACAGCTGTCAGACACAGCTGCCACATCATTTGTGGGCTCTGGTTCTCCTTGTGGGAATGGGAAGGTCAAGCAAGGAGAGAACCAGGGAACTCGCTTCTGATAGCCCGTATGTGGCTCTAATTTTTATTCTTGTAGTGAAGCTTGTATTACTCTTTAAAAAAAAAAAAGGGTTTTTTTTCTATTTTAAATCATGTTCAAATGAACCCAGCATCTTAACTACATTAAAGTATCTAGTTCAGTGGTATTAAACTAAAGGATATTTTGTAGATCCAAATGGATTCCCCACTTGGAGTCAGTCAGTCTCCTGTATCATGAAGGTTTTCTTGTTTTTAATGGTAGCCGTTAAGCCTGGGATATTGCACATAGTGGACCAGTGCTCTATTACATAGCAATATCTCTAGCTCTCTTAAGTTACATAGCAGAGTAATTATGGCATTGCAACCCCAAATCCTAAGAACGCTTACTTGTAGATTAGTTTGTAATGTCTCTCAGTTAATCATTATGGACTAATGTTCACCATTATGGAACCGTTTGAGTATTGTCTAGTGTCCTGTCCCTTTGGAAGGACTCCTTGGCACATTGCTTGCCAGTCAGGTGCAGTGGTAACTACCTCTCCCAGCTTTTGTCCATTTAGAAATATCTTAATTTGTCCCTCATTTCTGAAGGACAGCTTTCCTCTGTATAGAATTCTCCACTGTGCTTTATTTCCTCTTACAATTTGGATATATTGGTCCCCCACTGCCTTATGATCTCCAGAGTTCTAGGGAGAGATCCACTAGTAATCTTTCTGTGTGTGGCAAGGCAAGTCTCCCCGGCTTTCACAATTCTCTTATCGCTGGAACATTTGATTATTGAGGGTCTGACAGTGTGAGTCCCTGAACTCAGCTTCAATCTCCCTGTGTGTTTTCATTTGTCTGGCTGAAGAAATGTAAACTATTTTTTCTTTAGACACACTCTCTCCCCATGTCTCTTTCTCCTCTTTTTTTTTGTTTGTTTGTGTTGGTAGGAGTGGCCAGCTTGTTTCGTCCCAGCTGCCCGGCTAGCTTACACCGAAATAACCACACCGAAATTGTATTAATTAAAAAACTGCTTGGCCCATTAGCTCTAACTTCTTTTTTTT